TTGTGCCTGAGAAGTTTCATTCATCTAAAACTCAGAACGAGAAAACACGGTGTCAACCAGAATGGTTATGCGGCACTCAGCGTTACCTGGTAACTGGTTTGTCCCTGAGACCTCAAGAGTCTGCAGGGCAGGCAGTGTAAGAAGCAGCTGCTGTTCTGCTGCGCTGAGCTCCAGTCCACACATGGAGCACGTGGTGACAGAGGACTTATGCAGCTCCAGAGCAGGGCGGATGCTTTCAAGAAAGCCACTGCTGTGGTCCAAATGGAGTTCGATATTCTGTGATGCTGAGAAGACTTCCATTAGGACTCGGAGCAGTGCTTGGTCTGCGGGACCCATGGTGGTCACTGCAACTTCCAGCCTAGGGATCTTGTACTGCTTGGGTGACAGTTTCCAGTACCCTTCACTGAGGTCTGGTAGGGCCCTGGGTCGGCTATCTCTGAAGTTTTTTATGGCTTCCTCATACTCAGTGAAAGTTTTCTTCCATTCGCTTATATGCTGAAAGCCAGATGTGTAGTCCTGATCAATAGTAGGGGGCTGTATTTTTTCAACATATGTCTTGAATGAATAATCTATATGAGATGATGTTTTATCCCCATTTATGGAGACTTTTACACTCCTCAACAGTAGCAGGCTCTCTGGGTGGTCCTCAAAGTACTGGAAATTCAGGGCTTTCAGAGACAGTGTTCTCCCTCGAAGGAATTGTAAAATAAATGGAGAACATGCAGCGACCGTGTTGCTTTCATAAGCGAAGTTTAGAGCAACGCTCAGCAGATGTTCTGAGACGAATGAAGAAAAAGCTTCAGGAGATACCTGCCACAATCCCCTAACAAACTGCACCCACAGTGAAGTTTCTGGATGGAGCTTCATGTAATGCTCATCTTCAGACATGTTCTCCAGAGATTCTCTATCATCCACCAACTGAAGCAAGTGAGACACAACCATGGGCGCTGCCTTTGATGAAGAGTGGCTGGAGACATACTTCAAAAATATGTTATAGGAGTTTATAGCCTTCATGGGTGAGTTAATCTGTTTCAAATAATCAAGTCCCAGATCTTGGTCTTCCTTTTTTTCTGAACTCAGGAGTTCAGTCAGCCTCATGGCAGCAAGAAATTCTTGGAACAAAGGACTTAAGAACCGATAGACGGGGCTCAGTCTCTGGGCGGTGAATTTGCTCATCAGGCAGGTGGTCAGATCTTCATCTTCACCGACTCCTGCTTCTGTGAGGTCCTCACTACTGAACTCAAAGCAAGATGAGAAAAGCCCTCTCAAGGCCAGCTGACCACACGAGGACACAGTGGCCCTGAGAGGCTCAGGTGTAGCCTTGTGCTGTAAGGAAAGGTATTTCATATAGGACTTGAAAACTGCCACATCGTCAAAGGTCTGGTCAAAAGGATTTTGAAACCAGTCAGTGCAGACTGCGGCCACAAAGAGGGGGGTTTTGTGAATTCCCTGCAAATCTTTACTCCTTCCTAAGTAAACCATAAACTTTTCCACACGGGTTATATCATGTGAGAAGACCTTCCGTAGTATAGAGACAATATTATAGAAGGGAAACTCTTTGATCTCTAGGATTGTATCTAGGTATGGGCGGATGGCCCTGGCCCTGTTTGTATGGACAGCGATCAATAGGCAGGTTTGTGACAAGTAGTTTTTTGTAATCAGTGTTTGTATGGCTCGGGGCAGTGAGTCCATCCCACGGTAGTCATCCAACAGGAACAGCACCTGGTGCCTTAGCTGCTGGATGCTGCTGCTCAGGCACACTTCACTAATGCATCCTCCTGCCTCAAGGAGTTGGGCACTGATGATGTCGGCCAGCCCCTGGTCTGGTCTGGTGGACCTCAGGGAGATGTAGAAGACCAGCTGGAACCTGTTCAGCAGGGGACAGCATCCTGATGCCCAGAGGAAAGCTGTTTTCTTCAGGAAGGCTGTCTTCCCACTGCCGGTCTCGCCCTCCACACACATGACAGAGCTGAGGTTGGTGAAGACCTCAGGAAGCATCATGGCCTCTTGCACTGGCCTGCTGATGTGCTTTGAGACGATGGACAGATCACAGCCAAGCAAGTGGTCAGTGCCTAGGCTGGAACACACCTCTGGCAAATCCATGTGGCGGAAAGTGGCTTTGGTGTAGACTCCTCTCAGCCGCTCACTCAGACTCTTTGCCTCTTGAAACCACTGGGCTTCCCTCTGAGGCAGGTCTGTGGACAGGAGGGAAGCACCACTGGATGGACAATCACTTCCCTGGGCTTCACTTGGAGCATCATCTGTGGAGGGAAGCAGGGAGACCCCGTAGGAGATGCAGTCAAATCTCTCAATGCTAAAGCTGTGGTTTCTGTTACATTGTTCTGCCTTTTGCTAGGGACAGATTAGGACTTTCCTCCAATGTCCATGATCTCCCTTTGGATCCTCTCAGACCTTTCCATAGCATCAGGTAGCGAGGTCATGTGTCCTAGTGTTCTCTTTGAACTGGGGACATAGATATGATGTGTGCTTATCAAGAATACTCTGCCATTCCAAGTTCCCATTGCAGATCTCAGGAAACCGGCTTGCTGCACGAGGCCTTTAACCCTGCCTGGTTGGGACCTGACACAAGGACTGCTGTCATTAGTCCTTAATCTCAAGATGTTACAGGAGTGCTGACACTCTCTCCTTCACAGTACTCTCCGTGTCTGTGCTCTCCTCTCTAGCAGCTCCCTGGACAATCACAAATGCACTTTCCTTTCCAATCCCTAGGTACAAACACACACAATCCCATGTTGCTTTCAAGTGCTCACCGGCCACGGTAGAGTGAACTGCCGCTGGGTCCTCATGATTGCTTTCACCTGTGCTGTCCTAAGAACGAGAATCCTTTATTAAGTCAAAACTGGGTCTTATATCAAGATTGGATATTATGTTATCACTGATATTAGAATCTATCAACCAAATTGATAATACAATCAATCTTAATCCAACATCTTGTAAACACAGCCTACACTCAGTGCTGACTGAAGGAAGAGTGCTTCAGATGTGAAAGAGTAAATCTTACACATCTGCAAGGGTGTGTTCCTAGATGGTGCATGCATGGGATATACATCCTCTCTATGGGTGAGTGCTATGGGGGTAATCAAAATGGTAGCATCTAGAACAAGAATGGTCCCGCTAAAATCATTAAGTATTGCCTGTATCCTTGTCATTAGTACCTATGTGTTTCATATCAATGCTGGGATGCCGGAAGGTTATCACACACACACACACACACACACACACACACACACACACACACACACATTTTTGTGGGGTTTTCTTTTGTATTTAGAGAGTCTCATGTAGTATAGGCGGTTCTGGAATTCCATACGTAGCCCAGGGTAGCACTGGACTCTTCACCCTCCTTCCTTAGTTTCCCAACCCTGGTATTATAATCATGTGCCTCCCACACTCCAGGCTTCATTGTCCTTTTTTTTTCAGGGATTCCAAACATGCCCCTCCATTCTCAGTTTTGTTCAGTGTTGAAGACTGTGTGTGTGTGTGTGTGTTGGTGAACATCTAACAACTGAGCTACATCCCCTGCATTTGTAGTACCATTTTCAAATTTCCAAATATAAGATCTTCATTACGTGAACCCAAAATAGCTCTGCTGATGTGTTTTCCTTTACTCTTCTTCTGTTATTTTGTTGGTGTTTGTTTTGTTTTTTGAAGTGGTGTCGTATACTATTGTCCAGGCTGATGTTCAATGCCTGACAATTCTCCTGCCTCAGATCCCAGATTGCTGTATTACAGACCTGCACCACCATACCCAGCTCTGTTCTCTTTCTGTGGGATGAGAAACCGCATTCTCATTATGACAAGGTGAGGTGGTTTGTGTCAGCAATGAATTGACAGTGAGACTGTGTCAGAGAAACATCTAGGGTCACGCCATCATCTGACTTCATGGTTTTGCTGAGCATTTGAATGTGTTAAAGAAACATGTTGGAGACCACGGATACAGCTCACAGACAGATTCCTTGCCTAGCTCACATAAGACCTTGGGTTTGCTCTCTTGAACTGCAGTAAAGAACAAAAGTTAAATAGGAATGGTGGCACACAATTGTAATTCCAACATTTGGAAGGTTGAGGCAGGAGGATCATAAGTTCACAGCCAGTCTGGGATTTGAACACAGTAAGTTCAAAGTCAGCATAGGTTACACAGTAAGAACTTGTCCCAAACATAATTGCAACCAAACAAAATAAAACTTGCCTTGCGAATCCCAATAGAAGAAGTCAAGCCCAATGATTACGGGGGGCAGTTAGTCTGGATGTTAAAAGAAGTAAGAATTTCTAACAGAATTTCAACAACAGACTTCTCATAGGAAAGGGGTTGGTTGTGAGTTTCACGAAGCTAGCTAGTGTGTCCCTTGTCCATCCGAAGTTCCTGTGTGCACTCATCACTTGCTAGTGCTTATTAGATAGCTGTAGAATTTATTTAATTGTAATACATTTACACTTGGCAATTGCTCATCAAGACAGTGTTCAATTACGGCATCATAATCTGCCGATTCTGAGTAGGGGCGGGGTCTATTACCATGGTTTCCGGAAGTGCACAGTGGCTCTGAAGGGCTGGACTCACTTCTGCAGAGGACTTCAGGTTTTGGAGAAAGACACAGCTAAACAGAGGAGATAAAAGTCATAAAATTGTTCCATGCAAGTAAGCATTTGTATTGGGTTTTTAAGAAACATGAAGATCTGTGGTCAAGAATGAAGTAGAAAACTAACATTTTCAGTGATTCTGTCAGTGTTGGGTCATATGAAACATTCACACTATGGCTTACAGTAACATGATGAAAGTGGTTTGTAAAATAATGGTCCAAGATTACTTTACAGGGAATGTGTTGGGATGAGGACATAATTAATGCCTGTCCATAAAACCAGTTAAAATGAGCTTAAAGAATAAAAAGCAGTAACCCAGCACTGTGGGAGTAGAGACATGAGAATCACTGGGGCTTGCTGGATGCTAGCTTAGCTCAGGTTCAGTGAGAGACCCTGTCTCAGGGGAACAAGATGGGGCTTAAAGAAGAGGATGCTCGCAAAGGATGATAGCACACCTTTATTCCAGCACTCCAGAGGCAGAGACAAGCAGATCTCTGAATTTAAGATGAGCCTGGTCTACAGAGTGAGTTCCAGGACAGTCAGGGCTACACAGAGAACTCTGCCTCAAAAAAAAAATAGGGGTTGGGGTATTCCATGACTTCCCTTAGTCTCTATGTTAGTACATACAACGCACATACTTGCACATACTCATAAACTCACGTTAACAGCACAAAAAAATAAAAATAAATAGAAAATTTAAAGAGTAAATTCTATAATTCACAAAAAGGACAACAAATGACAGAAAGTTATCTAAACAAAATATGCAATTTAGAGTTTAGATAACCATTTATTACTGTATCAGCTCTTGTCAAGCTGTCAAAACAACCCCGCAAGATTCAAGTCTACCAACTACACGAAATTCATGATAAGTATAAAAATGTAGATCTCACACAACTAAACACATTTTTTTTTTACGTTTACTGCCCAGGGCTTGGAGATGGTACAGCTGGCACATGCTTTCTAGACAACCATGGGGACCTGGGTTCAGATCTCCAGCACCTATGTAAAAGCTAGGTATTGAGGAGAATGCCTTTAATATTAGAGCTGGAGATGGGGGGACAGGAAGATCTCAGGGGTTAGAAGCCAGTCTAATTTGCAGGCTTCAGGTTTATGAGAAACCCTTTTTCACAAAGTAAGTTGGACTGAACTGGATGCTAAGCCCCACTGCTGAATACACAATAGACTTTGATTTCAGGAGAGAGGAAAATCAAGCGGAATTTATTTAATGTTTCCTCCCTGTTGCTTCCCTCCTATAGCACGGAAAGAGGCTTTGCAGTCGGTTGGGGTAGAAAGGCCACCAATGGTATCACCCATTAGCAAACCCTGCATGCGATAACATCATCATGCTGGGCATGGTGATTCTAATGGTGAATGTGATGTGAAGGTTGAGGGGCAAGCAACCGGTTTTGGTTTGGATTTGAGCCTGTTTCCCAGGAGAGAATCCATGCTGGCACTCTCAGCCTGGTCAAGCTGGGTGCGGTGGTGCACACCTGTGATCTCAGCTCTTGGGTGGCACAGAAAGGCAGATCTCTGGGAGCTACAGGCCAGACTGATCTACATAGCAAGTTCAGGCCTGCTAGGGCTACCTAGGGAACCCTATCTCAAAAAGATAAAGGAAACAAAAACCTAAACTAAACCTGGCCCAAAACACAAGGTCCAGGAAGTTACTAAAGACTTAGTGTGTCTGTGGGGGGAAATGGGTGGGGTTACCAATGCTGTCTGGTTAAATCAAATTTTCTTCTAAATATTTATGTTCATATATACGATGAGTGTGGCTTTCAGCCTTAACTAGGTAAGCTTTTCTCTGCAGTGCTGATGTGGGATTCCCCTCTATAGGCTGTGAATATGTTTTATGACCATTGGTTAATAAGAATCTGCTTTGGCCTATGACAGGGCAGAATAGAGCTAGGCAAGAAAACTAAACTGAATACAGAGAGAAAAAAGGCAGAGTCTGCAGATGCCATGTAACTGCCAAAGAACTAACATGCCAACACCAGTAAACTAAAGCCTAGTGGCAATACAGGGATTATAGAAATGGGTTAATGTAAGATAGAAGAGCTAGCTAGGAATATACCTAAGCCATTGGCCCCAAAGCTAGAGCATAAAAACTAAAAAAGGCCAGTGAAAGAAACACAGTTTGACCCTTAAACCAGAGCCAACTCTGTCCCAGACTAACTGAACACAAAACTAAGTAATGTCTGAGTTGGAAAACCAACCAATTCCTGAGCAGGAAACCAACCGGTCCCTGAAAACAAAATCTAGCACCTGACCCTGAACCCCCAGCTAGTCAAAGAAATACATCCTGGATCTGAAACCTGAGCCAGTGGAAAAAACACTTTAGCCCTGAACCCAGAACCAAAGAAACACACCCTGACTCTAAAACTAGGGTCAAAGAAACACACTTCGACCCTAGAACCAGAGTTAATGAAACAAATATGTCTTAGCCCTGAAAATAGAGTCAAATGGCTAACAAAAGCACCAGCAAAGAAACACGGTTTGGTCCTGAAGCCAGAAGCAACACTGCCCCTGCCCAACTAAACCAATCAATCCCTGAACGGAAAAATTAATGAATCCCTGAGCAGAAAAATCTTCTCCCTGGGAAAACTCCACCCTAAGAAGCCCTATATAAGCCCCTCTGCAAGTTCATTTGTTGGTTGTCCCTTTCCACCCTGGCAGAGGCATCCACCCTCCTGGACTCCTCCTTCCCTAATAAATCTCTTAAAAGAGTTTGGGTGAAGATCTTTTGCTGGTGCTGAGCAGAAGAAGCTTTGCTGAGATGTCCCTTTAGGGAGCTGAGCAGAAAAAGAGGAACCTTGCTGAGACCTTCCCTTGGGTGGGGGAGGGGGCTGAGCAGAAAAAAACATAACAAAACAAACAAACAAACAAACATAAAACCATAAGAAACATTTACATCTGCTGGGAAACTCCCTTAGGAGTGGAGGCAGGAAAAGTAACTTGTTGTCAGAGCCAGAGGAGATTGCTACATTTCTGCAGGGGGTTCCCTATAGCATAGCAAAGCAGAGGTAACATCTTGGGCCAGAGCAGAGCAGAGCAGAGGAAATGGATGGTTCTGTTCAGATGTTCCCTAAGGGGAACAGAGTAGAGCTCAGTTGTACTGGCTTTCTTGTGGAGAGGAGCATGATTGCCACACCCTGCAGGGAGACCATACCCCACCACACTCCAGCTTCAGGTATAGCCTGACTTCCCGACAAGCCAGGATTCCTTTCCCTCCAGAGCTGTCCCTTCACAGTTTCAGGTATAGCCTGACTTTCCAATGAATCAGGGTACTTCTCCCTCCATATATCTCCCTATAACACTTGAAACCAAAACTCTCTTGACAGTCTAGAACATGTTCTAAATACAATTAGATTGCCTCCCAATTTACCATCACAGGGATTAAAAAGAAGGTCCCTATGTTCCCAACAATTTACTACATTCTACATCAAAAGAAAAAAGAAAAAATTGGGGCCTGGAAAAAGTGGCTCACTGCAAGAACATTAGCTCTCATGCAGAGAGGATCAGGTTTGGTTTCCAACACCCATATCAGATAGATCACAACCTCCAGCAATTCTAATTCTAGGGGATCCAATGCCCTCTTTTGACCTCTGTGCATGCAAGTAGTGCACAGATAAACATGCAGGCAAAACACCCATGCACATAAAGGCAACTATTTTAAAAATAAGTAAAAGAAAAAGGGGAACGTTTTGAGCAGCTTCTAATTTCAAAATTAGATAGAAATATTCCATTTATTTACTTGTTTAAGTTGAGGATAGGTCTTGTTACATAGCCCTGGATTGGTCCCAAACATATGATTTTAGAAGGAAGCAGACTATGGGGAACAAGAGGGAGATAAGAGGGTAATTGGAGGATGATGGTGAGCATGATTGTAATACACTGTATGGATATGTAAAAGTCAAAATGTATGTATATGAAAATGTCCTTTTATATAATTAACATATGCTAATAATCTATTTTAAAATATTTTAAAGAATTTTAGATATTATTCCTATTCAATTTAAAGGCTAAATAATTGTTTGAAACTTTACACTTAAGTTGGGCAAGTGGTGGTGCATGCCTTTAATCCCAGCACTTAGGAGGCAGAGGCAGACAGATCTCTGTGAGTATGAGGGCAGCCTGATATACAGAGTGAGTTCCAGGACAGCTAGGGCTGCACAGAGAAACCTGTCTTAAAAAACTCAAACTAAAAACAAACAAACAAACAAACAAAAAAACAACTTTTGAAAAGAAAAAAAGAAAGAAATACCACCCGTGGTGCTAGAATATAGGTCCTTAGGGACAAACAAGTCAGGCCCCAGCTAGGGGAGAGGAAGAGATAAGGGGGAGGAGGGGGCCTGTTGTCCTGTGACAGGATATGAGTCAGGGTATTTACAGCCGGCCATTGGGTCTCCAGCTAGGGAGGGAGGAAGAGATAAGAAAAACAGAAAGCCCACAGGCAACCCCCTCCTTGGTATTTAGGTGAAAGGTCAAGAATTTGCCACTCAGCCCGCTCTTAGCCTTATTTGAATTGACCAATGGAATGAATCCCCGTAACCACGCTTTTCGCTTCTGTACCCGCGCTTTTGCTCTCCTATAAGAACCCCTCACCCCAACCTGGAGGCGTGCAAGTCTTCCGAGAGACCTTGTCGCCCCAGGTACCTGTGTATTCGAATAAACCTCTTGCTGTTTGCATCCGTAAGTGTGGTTTCGTCTGATTCGTGGGTCCGGGGCCTCTCTCGAAAGGAAGACATCCCTCGGGGGTCTTTCACTTTACATTTAAAAGTTAAATAATGAGACTTAAATTTTTTCTAATGCGAAAACAATTTAGAGTAATTTTAGGTATACACTCAATGCACACAGGACACAACTGTGAAACTGAACAGAGACTGCAGAGACAACACTGTGACAGATTTTCATGCCTTCAAAATGATACCATAGCAAAAAATTTTTATTTCTCAATTACAAGTGCTAGATTTTTAAAATAGATTGATTTTACACAATTCATATATTAATGAAATATTTAATATAATTTAATACAATTATATTTAATATAAAACAAAGCTATTTTTTTCTTCCTTCAGCTTTCTGAGCCTAGGATTCCAAGTGTCTGCCTCTGTGTGCAGAGATACTTTTCAGTCTGTACATATTGATATTTATCTCTGAAAAGTCTAATTACTTAGTGAAAACAACAAATTTTGTTTGCAATCAAATATTTCCAGAGTCTTTTTATGTGTGGAAAAGAAATAAAAATAAGCTTGAAGATTGACAGAAAAGGAGACAAGAGTAGCTCAATAGCGAAGGGATTGCCTAGTGTGCCCACATCATTGGTTCCATCCCCAGTACTGGGAAAAGAAAACAACTTGGAAAATTCTAGACAATAGCAATAGAAAATCCTAAAGGATTATAGAAGGAGACGAATAGGAAAACTAGTTTGCAATCAAAACAACCAGAAAAGTGGGGAATTGTCAGACACGGTGGTACCTCTCTGTAGTGCCATCACTTGGGAAGCTGAGGCAGGAGGATCTTGGGTTCCAGTCCTACTCTGCTAGACAGCATTTCTATGATAGTCTGGGTACATAGAGAGATCCTGTCTTTAGAAGTGTGTATATGGACACAGCCAAAACCAATATCTAACTATGATGAGAAAAAACCTAGACTGGGAGGGTGTCATGGGAGGAAAGAGATGAAGATCTGAGTGTGAACCCTCCACAACAGGAACCAGAGGAGTGTCCAGAGACTATCTGCAGGAAAATCATAGACAAGGAGGGAATTCAAGGTCAATAGAATTCATCTTGCTCACTTGGGAAAAAACTTGGTGTGCTCTTCTAATGGGTTGTCACCTTCTTCCCATTTACACATGCATCCTCCACAGGAAAAACACCGGACAGTGTCTTTTTTGCCTAGAACAAGGAAATATGGTCAGTTCACCAGCACATACACCTGTCAACTCTCAAGCACATAGCTTCAGATTTCGCTAGTGAAATCCTACTTGCATCTCCAAATGGATTGTGTGGCAAAGTCACGCACAGGTCACCAGGGCAAAGCTCACACAGGACTTTGGTTCTCCAGTGGGTGGTCAGCAACAGTCACTGAATGCTCCTGAGTATCATGTGCTTTGATGAACACCCTCTCCCAAATCAGCCATCCTGAAAGATTTGCCATCAGAATCTGGAGCAGAAGCTCCAAGAGAGCCAAGATTTCTGTCTGATTTGGACACTAGTGACTTTCAAAGACATGGACAATCAATAAGTATTTGTTTAATGAATTAGTCAGAAAGAATATACTTGTAGCTGGGGATAAGTAGAAGAACAAATGTAAAAGCCTCTATGCAATCTAGACTATGAAGAGTCACTTGTCTCTTTTCACATTATTGGGCTGTGTGATAAAGCTTTTGTACACTGTAAAGATTTGTCACTCATATTGGTTTAATAAAATGCTGATTTGCCAGTAGCCAGGCAGGAAATATAGGTGAGACAACCAGACTAAGAGAATTCTGGGAAGAGGGAAAGCAGAGATGCAGTCATCAATCAGATGCAGAGGAAACAAGATGAGAATCCCTTACTGAGAAAAGGTACCAAGCCACATGATTAAACATAAATAAGAATTATGGGTTAATTTAATAGGTAGGAGGTAGTTAGTAACAAGCCTGAGTAATAAACCAAACCATTTATAACTAATATAAGCCTCTGTATGTTTTTTGGGACTGAATTGTTATGCGACAGGCAGGACAAAAACTTTCATCTATAAATGGTGCCCAAAGTGGGGCAAGAATTTCCACATAAAGCCAGAGAAAGCTTAACAAAAAGAATTCTAGACAGACAAGAACAGAGTCAAGCACAGCTTCTCAGTAACTATCTTTTCTCTAGTAGGCTCTGTTTGCTAGAGAAGTGTGACTCCTTTAAAAGAGGCTTCCTGACTCAGCTTTAGTACCAATCACCTTGCAGCTCTTTTAAGAGGCCCTGCCACTAAACAATTCAACGGTGTTGATGAGCAGGCAGCATGCTTCTTGGTGGTGGCAGGGACCTACAGAGTTGTGGCAACAAACGTGGCTCCTGCCAGTACCTCCATCATGAAGCTAGACTCTCAGAAAGCTAAGGAATGGGGTGGAACCTAAAGAAGGAAAAACAGCTATCCACAAACAATCACCAAGCAAAGTAAAATCTGACTGATGACACCAGTTTAATTTGTAAAATCTCACTACCTGAACATGCATACCTCCTCATTTCTCAGTACAAGGGCAGTCCCAACTCAAAAAGCATAGCTGGCTTTGGAGTTGGCCTGTGATTCTCTCCTTCTCTCAATCCAAGCATGTTGTTAAAAGAAAAACTCAGTTTCTGTCTCATATCAGGAGAGACACCTGGTGTGGGACAGAAAAAAAAATCTAGGGACTACATTTATCAAAACTCTGCTTTCACAAATTCTCTGTTGTGCTTCTTTGAATACATGTCTCTCTAAATTTAAAATTCAAACTTTCCATTTTGATATGAATAATGATTAAATTTTCCACAGTGGACAATAAATTTTCCTACAGTAATCTCTGAAGTCTCCAGGATAAAGATGGGGCCTTACAATAATGATGCCACTTGGTTCATATAGTGTCATTCAGCTGATAGCACCACTGAAAGATCGGCTTTGGACCACAAACTGCTCAGAATAATTTTGAGATGGCCAGCTGAGATGATCCTGCCTCACGGACTACTCCAGCCAGGATTGAGGCTAGCCCTGCACTTTCCCATCACACATAGACTGGACCAAAAAAATGATACAACTACCTCTCCCAGGACTTGACAATTAACCCAAATTTTTCTTTTCAGTATCTGCTAAAGATGCCATCACCCTCAGACAGCAGGAAGTAAATTTAAGAATACGATGCCCACATTCCCAAGAGGTGGGGTAGAAGCTCTTTGCTCATTCAATGGATTATGGACATTTGTCATTGTTTAGGGTGGTTGGTTATAAGTTATTATTGGTAGTGGTCAGGAAAAAAACTAGACAAAGGAAATTATATTCAAGGTCCTTGTTTTGAAAAGATAAAAAGGGATTATATATGGGAGCCCACTTGTGATTCAGTTTCCATCTAGAGTCATTTGTGACTTAAAAGTCATCTGAGTTCAAGCTTTCCTGCTCAGCCTGCTCCAGTATCCTTGAGAGCTGTAAGAAAATTCTGATTAAGCCCATGGGAAAAAATATTTTGCCAATGAGAAAAGAAAACACTATCAAGTAGAAAGAACACTGTTGATGCCAAACCTTAGGGCACATCCAGATAAAAGAAACTGCTTGCTCAAAGACAGGAATGGTCTGTGGTTAGATCCTGACAGGCTGTGCTCTGCTTTGTTCTGTTTTTGTTTTTAAGCAGGCTCTGAAATAAACTCGGGGTTGTCCAGAGTAAACTGGAAGTCCCCTGAATCTATCCTAGGTCTTCTGTCTCAGTCTTTAGCCTCAGTGCCCCCTTTCAGGAGTCCTGGCTGACTTTCTTGGAGCAGGTTTTGACAGATATAAATAGGATAGGATAAAAGGATAGATTATTGAGAATACTCCAAAAGAAAAAAGGGAGGAGATAGATATGATAAAATAAAAAGGTAGATTATTGAATCTACTTTTAAAAAACTACTTCTGGTTTTAAATATTTTACATTAGATTGGACTATGGCATATTATATACAAATTTTGTATATTGATACAAATTTGAGATTAATTTTGTTAAAACATACTTTACATATGTTTCTAATCTTGTTAAAAGTTTTGTACCTAAACAGCCCATCAACAATGTAAGAAAATTTTCAGTCTTTGAAAGTTATTATTATGAATTCTTTCAGATAATAAGGAAATGTAGGTTAGTAATTAATTACCTAATATAACTGAACTTGTAGTCACATTTGGTATGTTTTCAAGGTCAAACAAAGATATTTTTAGATACATAGGTCATCTTCAAACACTTCAAAGATCTCCAGAATATGACACTTAAGATGTTTTAATAACATAGGCTCTTTATTTTTTTTTTTTTTAATGAAAATGAGTCATGTCTGTTCCTGGCAGCACCAATCTACTTCAGAGAAGATAATGGGTATCGAAGAAACTCCACATGGAGGTTACTTTCTTCGTGGCAAAAGTAAACCACTGGGTAAGATTATTGCCAGCATGACATCTGTGAGACTTGAGGAAGGCAGGCAAGGAGAGACGAAGGGTTAAGACCATGTGGCAAGATCAGCTGTGCCAGTGGAATATGGGTGTTAGCGGAAGCAGTGGAGAGGCCACAAGTTCAGAGGCTGAGCTACAGAAAACTGAAGGTCCATGGGCTCCCAAAGAGATCTATGACAAATGTAGAATCATAGAGGGAGATACAAGAGCAGGATTAGAGAAAGTGATAGACACAAAACACTGACTAAGGTGCTGGAGATGCTCAGCACTAGGGCACTTCCGGCTCTTGCAGAGGAGTCAAGTTTGGTTCCAGCAGCCACATGATGGCTCACAGCCACTTGTAACTCCAGTTCCAGAGGACCCAACAATCTGTCTTCCTCTGAAGGCACCACACAGGCATGTGGCACACATACACGCAGGCAATCACTCATACACATAAACCTGAAAATAAAGAAAAACAAAGCTGGCTCACCTGTGTAGAAAAGGCCTGCTCTGACCAGAGCTTCAACAGCCACAGGTGATTCATGGGGCCAGTCCTTAAAAGTGTCCAGCCTTAGCTCTTCATTAGCGAAGACACTGTCATTGCTGTAAGCTTGGGAAAACAGATGCAGGTGAGCACAACTGGACTGATCGCAAAGTTCAGGTTAGCGGTGTGTGTAGCTGGAATGACCTGATGTGCTGTGCTTGTGTCAGAATAAAGGGGGGAGGTTAGGAAAGCACAAGGAAGAAAAGATCCAAGAGTGAGCATCAGAGCTGCTGGAGCAGAGTGGTGAAGGCTGGGGCATTCTGTCCACTCTATTCCTGTCTGCGTGTGACCCATGTGCCAAAATGTAACTTAAGACGGTCTCTTGGTCGTCTAGCATCAGGACACGACAAAAGCGAGAGGAGACTCCTGTTTCCAGAGTCAGAGTCAGGCTCTGAGAAAGGCAATTTCCCCTGGGGCTCCTGAAAAACGGTCATTGTGTGGGCTTGCTCTTTGAGACGACCACACTGCGGGTCTCCACTAGACTTTCTGCCTCATCCTGGCCTCTGGACCGTTACATGTCTTCTCCTTAGTCTTAAATGTCGTAGGGTTAAATGTCTTCTCCATGCTGTGAGGATTTTGAAATTAATTTTCCCTTAACTTGGTTCTGACAAGTTTCTCAAGATGAAAGCTTGCCTGTGTTTACACTTAATCCTAGGATTAGGGTTTTGTTATTGATTTTGCTGCTTTGCATACTTCATTGGGGAAGCACATCCCACTTAGATTTAATAAAGGAAAAGATCTTTACAGTTTAGAAACCTTTTATTTTACTTTTGATTTCTACTACTAAGACACAGGTCATAGGGAGTAGGTCCCACTGCTTTCTTAGTGCCCACACCGTGGGGTCTCTGGTTGGAGCAGGTTGACATTTCAGATTTTCTTTAGCTTCCTTCTTTATCTGATTGTTTCCTTCCCTATATCAGGAAGCTAACTGAGGACTTACAGTTCTCTGTGTGTTCATGTGTGTGCCGGTACATGTGCATGTACGGTTCACACTGTGAAAGTCAGAGGACAACCTTCACTAGTTTTCCCTCGTTAGAGAGGGTTTGTCATTCCCTGGCTAGGTTGTCTAACCCCAGAATTTCAAGTGTTTCTCTTTACCAGCCCTGGGATTACAAATGCACAACAGTGACACCTGGCTTTTGTTACATGGGTTCTAGAGACAGAACACAAATCCTTTTGTTTGCATGGAAAGCATTCGGCACTCATTGCTCTGGCCTTTCTCCTTATAGTTCTTAATGTTCACAATACTCAGTAAATTTCTTCCCAGTAATCATAACCTTAAGTTGCTTGTTTAACAGCAACAAGAGCATGCTGGGTAACACTGTAGACAACTCCAGTTTTGCTATGGCAACTTTCATGAGCAGGTCTCTTTTTGAACAGCCCATTCCCTGTGTCTACCATTTCACCATTCTTGTAGGCTCTTGCATATGTGGCCAAAGGAACAGCTCTGCCTTTCAAAGGTCTAGAAACAAACATTGGCTGCCTTTATTTTCCCTTTGAGTTTGACATTTTAGCATGATACTGGACAATGAAGGTTCCACCTAGAGGATGTTGTGGGGTGTGTGTGTGTGTGTGTGTGTGTGTGTGTGTGTGTGTGTGTTTGTGTGTGTGTGTGTGTGTGTGCGTGCATGCACATGTGTGCACGTTTCCTACACTTATGTATCTGTACCACATGTGTGCCTGGGACCTCAGGTGACCAGAAGAGGCTGTAAGATGCCCTTGAGATGGAGATATAGACTGTTGTAATTTGCTACCGTGTAGGTGCTTTGGACCGAACCTGAGTTCTCTGTAAGAACAGCAAATTCTCTGAACAGCTGAGACATCTTCTGCTCTATGTTTATGGGGGCAGGGAGCACCAGTTTTGCTATGTTAAGCTAAACTATCCTTCAACTTATGATACTTTTGTCTCAGTATTCTTACTTCTGGGATTTCACACATGGACCTCTATACTTGGCACTAACCTTGGAATGTATTCCTCTCAGTTTTGTGAATCAGGACGCCATATAGCCTATACTGGCCTCTAACTCAATATCATAGTCAAGCCTGGACTTGAGCTCCTCTCTCCCCTTCCAAGAGCAGGGATCACAGGACTGAGCAGCCACACTCAGTTGACCATAGAATTCTTGCTGTATTGTGATTGTTTCCATCCTGTCCACTGCTGCTGTCCCCATGTCCCTGAATTTGCTGGGACTGAACTCAGAGCGTGTCCTAACTGCTATACAGATGCTCTATAACTGAGCTAAAACCCTAACACTAGCTTTTGTTTTCTTTGTGTGAGGGAGTGGAAACAAAGGACCTTGCTCATGGTAGCCAAGTGACTAATGTCCTCAGATCTGTCACCTCATCTCAATGTGAGTATTTCTCAGTTTCCTAACAGTACACTGGGCTATTTAAGAATGCTTTTGGGGACTGTGGTTGTAGTTCAGTTTGCAGAGTGTCCTCTCAGCATTCAGGAAGACCTTGGTGGGTTCCCTCCTCAGCACCCAAGAAGCTCTGTCTCAGCACTCAACAGGAAGAGGTCAAAGGTCAAGATTCGTTTGAGTTTAAGAGTAGTCTGGGATAGGAAACATTCTGAAAATGCTTCCAAAACATTTTATCCAAGATTTTAGTTGTTTGAAGGGAAGCATCACTTATGGCATGGACCATACTGTATTTAGCTATGGTTACCTACAATAAACACTAAGCTACTCAGCGGTAGCTTGCCTCTAAACCTGAACCTTTTAATTAATTCCTGGACCCCTCCTGTTTGAAGGAGAGAACCAACTCCTGTAAATTTTTGTCTTATTTTTGCACCTTCACACATGGGACCCACTAAGTAAGTAACTGAACATAATTTTTTAAAAAATTTACTTTTAAAGATTTATTTATTTTTATTTTGATGTAGGTGTTTTGTCTGCATGGTTGACTGCACCACATGTGTGCTGTGCCCATGGAGGTCAGAGGAGGGCATTGGAGTCTCTGTAACTGGACTGACAGAGTTGTGAGCTGCCATATGGGTGCTGAGAACCAAACCCAAGTCCTTTATGAGAGCAGCAAGTGAGCTTGAGTCCACAACCATCTCTCCCACCCATAAAGTAAAAGCAAAAACCAATCCAGTCATTCCATAATAGAAAAATCACTAATGAAAGGAATTGTTATAGTAAGTTAATAAGGATTGGAGAGATGGCTCAGTGGTATATAACACTTACTGCTCTTCCAGAGGACCCACGTTCAATTCCCAGTACCCACATCAGGCTGTTCACAAGTGCATGGAACTCCAGCCCCAAGGGATCTGACATTCTTGTCTGGCTTCCAGAATCACCTACATACTTGTGGCACATACCCCCGGACATGGGGAAGGGAGGCACAAAAAAGGAAAGAAACAAGCAAAGCATTTTGAATGTGCCTGAGGTTTTACCTGACACCATAGGTAATTCTTTTCTGACCCAGGAATTCAGAAAATGTTCTCCCTGAGGGAAAGAAATTCAGGTTACTGACTGATTTATTTATAAAATATACATCTGTCTGTGAGCTGCAACTGAAGGACTCCCCCACTAAAGCGACGTTTCATTAGAGCAGCAGAAGTGTTGGCAAAGCAGACCTTTAGTTTGATTTCTATTGATCTCAGGAATTTTATGCAGTACAGACCATCAGCAATGTTTACCTGTGCAAATGGGTGATGTAGGAGGGTCATCTGTCTATGTGTTACTTTCATTCGTTAATAAAGAAAACTGGTTGGCCTGATAAGTCAGAAGATAGGTAGGTGGGGAAGACAGAACAGAATTCTGGGAGAAAGAAAGCAGAGTCAGAGAGCCGCCCACCATGAAGCTGCTAGGTCAGACATGCTGAATCTTTCCGGGTAAGCCACGAACTCGTGGTGACATACAGATTACTAGAAATGGGTTAAACCAATATGTAAGAGCTAGCCAATAAGAGGTTATAACCAATGGGTCAGGCAGTGTTTAAATGAATACAGTTTCTGTGTGATTATTTTGGGTAAAGCTAGCTGGGAGCCAGGCCACAAACCGCTGCTTCATCTACTACAAATGGGAGCTTTCTTGGGGTCACTCTTACCAGACATGAAGCTCAGCAACAGAACTGCAGTCACACACACACACACAGATGCATTTGACTCAGGGAGAACTGAGCCACGGGAAGGAAGTTCACCTCAGAAGGACCTTTCCAATTGAGCAACTCTCCCTCCGAGAAAACTGGACCCAGACTTTCAGCCCTGCTCTCTGCAGACACAGCCTCTGAGTCATCAGCCATTACATTCTCCTTTGGCTTCTGTTTGAGTTAAGTTTCCCACCGCTTACCACTAGGAGGAAGTCCTTACTAATTTAGACCCTAGACAACCAGGGGCAGGAGCCAGCTCTGAGAGCCCTGCTGTCACCAGGTACTAGGACAGAAGACTGGGTCGGGCGTCCAGACAGAAGCAGCAGAAGGAAGCGAGGGCAGCGGACTCAGTCAGTGGGGGATGAAGGAGGCAGCTGAAGCCACCCAAAGTTGCCTGAGAAACCACATATACATGGTTTCCAGCTGAGCAAGACAAGATTTTTTTTTGTCTCCACTCTGCAGATGAGATGCAGGAGCTTGAATCCATGAAAAAAATAAAACTCCTCAATGAATCCACACCAGTGGAAAGAGTTTGCTGCTGTGAATTACCGTAACATGGACAAATCCCTCGTAGCTTTTAATATACTGGGCAATTTCCTCCGAGGATTTCTTACTTCGAAGAAATTCACACCTATATTTAAAAACATAATTAAAATTATCTCAATACTATGATGAAAATTTTCTGTATTACAATAAATATTTGCTAAAATCCTATCAAATTATTGAATTTGATCTTTTAATAAAACTGCCAATTTTTTTCCTGAAAGCTTCCTCATGAGGATTAACGTCATGCTGTTAGAAATATTTAAATCATATACTGATAAGATACATCACTATTTAAAATAAAACCTGTGCCAGTTAGTCTTTTGTCAACTTGACACAAGCTGGAGTCATCTGGGAAGAGGGAGCCACGGTTGAGAAAATCCCTCTATCAGATTCGCCTGTTGTCCAGTCTGTGGGCATTTTCTCGATCAATGAGAGATGTGGGAAGACCCAGTCCACTGTGGGCAGTGCCACCCCTGGGCTGGTGGTCCTGAGAAGCATAAGAAAGGCAGTTGGGCACGAGCCTGGGAGCAGGGCAGTAAGCAGTGTTCTATCATGGCGTCTGTTTGTCCCTGCTTCTGTTCCTGTCCTGATGTCCCTCCACGGTGGACGGTAATCTGGACATGTAAGCCAGATAACCCTTTCCCTCTCACGCTGCTTTTGGTAATGGTCCAGCAGAAATCAACAACAACAGAAAGCAAACTATAGGAAACCTTTATCTTATTTTAATTTTTCTTTCAACACAGGCTCTCCCTCTGTTGTGGTGATGTCATGCTGTTGACCTCAAGCACAGCCTGGACTGCAGGCTCACACTGCTGTTCTTTTCTTGAAACAGATATGCAACAGAATCAAAGATAGTGATTCACAGTAAGTAGACTGTGATACACACACACAGACACACACAGACACACACACACAGACACACACACACACACACACACACAATGTAAAGAATCCCAAGGGCTGGAAGGGGAAGGGCCTGTGAACACTGACTAAGATATTTAATGGCATTAGGTATTAAAGCTCATCTTTTTAGGAGACATAATGACCCTGTGCTTCTTTTCTCTCTATTAGTCATGATTTAAAGGCATGTGCTAAAAGAATATCAAATGGAACCATGCGTTCGCTGGAATATGCTTTGACATAACCTGATTATCACTATTCTGAGCAGATGGCCACAAAGAGACAGGTGAAATGTGATCTGAGCAGGCGGGGACAGGTGCTCACTATACTGTCTCTACTTTGTGAGATTCCATAATAAAAGTCTGGAAACTAGGTACCTGAATGAACAAACAAACACAACACAAACAGAAACAACAGATACATAAAAGCACCACTGAACACATTATGAAATATAATTAAAAAATGCTTTCCTTTCCTAAGCTGGGTGAAAGATCACTGCAATTACAAAAACTCCAAATCTTTGAAATAAAATGCACCTGTTTCTTTTCTGTGGCGCTGGTGTGTATGATCACCTAGGCATCTGGTCTCCTTGTCATTTTTTTTAAAACCAGAAGATGGTCTTGAATTCCTGATTCTACCACCTCTAACCTCGTTGTGCTGGCCATGTCCAGCAAGTGTTTTCTTCACGCATGTTCCGCAGTAAGTGAAACCACTTGTAATATCTTAAACACTGTTATTATTTTCCTTCATTTATATATCATTTCTGTCCCTGTGCAGATTCACTCATTTGTTAGATAAGGTAAATCATAAAACTGCTTCTTGGTAAGACATATTGTAGTACTGAGGACAATAAAGCAACATTTAGCCATGCGATGGTGGCACATGATTTTAATCCCAGTATTCAGGGGCAGAAGCTGGTGGGTCTGTGAGTTTGAAGCCAGTATGGTCTACAGAGTGAGATACAGGACAGTCAGGACTACACAGAGAACAATATCTTTTGAAAAACAAAACCAAACGTTTAATAGTAGTTGGGAGGGACCGGAGAGCACGCACTTGACACTTGCAGGAGACGTGAGTTCAGTGCCCAGCACCCACATCTTACTGTAGCTCTAAGGTTCTGACATCTCTGCCCTCCATGTGTACCTGTACTAACTTTTACACACACACAACGTTCCCCGAATAATTAAAAATGAAAGCTGAACTAGCGGAGATGCCTCAGTAGGTAAAATACCTGAGCATAACCATGAAAGCGTGAAATTGAATCTGTGTTGATTCTGTAAAAGCAGGGCCCAGTCCACCATGTCTCCAATGGAGTCAGGAGGATCCCAGGTTGCCTGTTTCAAAATATAAGGTAAAGAATGATGGAGGGCAGGAACCTGTACCAACATGTGACCTCCCCACAGGCATGGACGAATACACATACATACACTACATACCAACACACCACACACATAAACACACTTTACATATAACAACACACTACACAAAAAATATAAAAAAACCTGATAAAGCAAAAAACAACATAAAAGAGAAAGAGCTATTTAAGTTCATGTGGTTTAAAGGTTTCACTATGTGACCAGATCTTCCTTGTTTGAAAATTCTGGGATAATCCCATGTTGGATAAGAGAAATATCAGAACTCATGTGATACTCCAACAATGTTGGTGTTTTCTCTCCAGGTTCATAGTGCTAAAAACAATCAAACAAAACTTAACCAAAAAAAAAAAAAAACTGAAAATACGAATGAAGTGTTTGTCTGCTTACTTGGGGAACCACTTGGCATGCTCCTTCCAAGGATCGTCTCCTTCTTCCCAGTTTCCCAGGCATCCAGCGCAGGAGAAACACTGCACAGTGTCCCTTTTACCTACAATGCAGTGATGTGTTCTGACTGGCCAGCAATGGCACCAGGAGCGACCTTGGAGCTGATCATATTGTAGCAGAACAGACAGACTCCAGCATGCCTGTTCTTCCGTGACTTCTCTGGCTGGATCCCTGTCCACAGTCCCACTGCCCTAAATGACCCCCTCGGAGCTCTGGACCTCTGTCCCCCAGCATGGCCTTCCTCCATATACACTGCCCCCACTCTATGGCTTCTCAGACAGAAGCTACTCTTTAGCTTTCAGGACCAAAGGGATGGAGAAGCTAGGATTTGCTAAAATGATGCCAATAGAAGGTCAAAGGATTACGGTTGCCGCATTGTTTCTATGGAAACAGAGGTACATTTCTCTACTTCTTTGAACCTCAGTGAAGTCACCTATGAAATGTGGAAAGGGCAAACTGGTCAAGTTAGAATTAGTGCTCAATCCATGCACAGTTTATATAAGTGGGTCCCCAGCACACCACAGACACCGCTATAACATCTTCCACATCTCTCCTAACACCTGTGTGTGTAGCTAAGGCATTTCAAAGTGCAGTGTTGTCAAAGGCAGCTTGCCTCTGGATGGGGGTTAAACAAGCACAAACAGCATCCTTCCAAAACTAAAGAAATGAAATAAATCAAGAAAATACATGATTAATAGTATTCGTGAAACTAGAAGACAGTGGAACCGATCTATCTCATGATCCATTTTCAGCACCTTATGAATTGAACTAGGGATTTCTGCGGTCTTTTTAGTTTTGTTTTCTAGTGCTGGCACTAAGCAATGGCTAAGTTAGGCCACTAGTAATGAGCTACACCCTCAACTTCCACTTAATAGTTTCTCAGACCCACATTTACAGAGAAAGTACCTTGTGTTTTATACATATTTGGCAAGATAATAGTGCTACACTAAAAGTAAATTAAAGAGGAAGGAAAATTATTAAAGTAGATGTTTAATTAACCAGATCTCCTCTACCACAATTAACAAATAAGGAATGATTAACAAGAGGTAGTGGAAGAGGAGGAGGATGGGAAGGAGGAGGAGGAGGAGGTAGAGGAAGAAGGAGAAGAGGAAGAAGAAAAAGAAGAAAAGAGGAACAAAAGGCTGGAGAGATGGCTCAGTGGTTAAGAGGGCTCTGGCAGGGGAGTGGACTCGTGCTCTCACAAGTGAAAATTCCCCACCCCCTCACACAAGTACATATATTTTTTTAAAAATGGAAACTAAACTTTATATTTATAGAAACACATCACAAAATGGAATCCATTCACCTGTAAAGACGAAGCCAGCTGCTGAGAGTACACGTGGCGATGTCCCATGGGCATAGAATGGCCAGTTCTCAAAGGACTCCAGTCTGGCCTCCTCTTCCCGGTACCTTGCTTTGCCGCCCCTCAGCTTCTCTGGACTCCTCACCCTTATGTCATACTTGCCAATGTTCCCAACATCTCTGCCCAAAAGGAACGCACATTCCGGACGCCATCTCTTGTGGTTTTCTATAGGAAGATTCTTGAGTCTGGTGCAAAAGAGGATTAAGCTACAGCAGAAGCACTGAACCCCAAGTTTCACCCCAGTATGGTAAAACCCAGCGGCCGCCATCTCCTGTGGCGTCCATGATCTGACTGTGTCATAGGTCACGAAAGTCTTTAATCGTTTGGCTTCACTGCGCATCTGTGGGTTAAAACCTTTCTTCATTTTCATTCGTAATTTATGGTCTTCTTCATCTTGTCTTCTTAAGACCTGATGAGCATCCACACCCAGAAGAGCAGAGAACTCAGAGGCCAAATCATCATCGAATTCAGAAATCCTCTCCTCAGAAGCTTCTTCCTGGGTGGCCATTTCTAATGGAGAAAGGAAAGCAGATGATTGGTATTTGTGATATTTTTATTACAATGGGTTGTGTCTCAGGGCCAGAGAGACAGCTCAGTGACAGAGTGCTTGCCACAAGCCCTTTGTCTTCAGCTGGTTCCCCTGCAACCCTCAAGGTAAGTAGGAGATTAGTGACTCTTTTAAGCAGACCTATGCAAAGACCAAAGTAGGCCTGAGGCAACGAACTCCATTTTGGGCTGGAGTGGGCCTGAGGCAACCAATTCCATAGGAGTGGGTCTGAACCAGCTACCTAGGCCAGAGTGGGCCTGAGAAAGAAAGCTCCACGGGAGTGGAACGGATCCAATCCAGGGACATTTGTGGACCAGGATTGAGCTAGCGACCTGGGCCAGAGCAGACCTGAGACAGCGAACTTCACAGGAACAGGTACAGGGAACAACCACTAAGCAAGTGAGCCAGAGCCAGAGACTGCTGAATGTTCGGAGGTGAATCTGGGACTTTAAGGTAGTAGACCTAAGCCAGGACCCCTGTGGGTTTGGGTGTGAGTCTAGGACCTCTGAGGAACTAGGCCTGAGCCAGGACCTCTGCTGGTCTGGGCATGAATCTGGGACCTCTGAGGGAGTATGCCTGAGTGGGTACCTCTGGGGATCCAGGCGTTTGTCTGGGACATCAAAGAGAAAAGGCAGGAACAAGAAACCTCTGAAGGTTCAAGCATGAGTCTGGGACCTCTGAGGAAGTAAGCCTGAGCCAGGTCCTCTGTGGGTCTGGGCGCACCCAAGCCTGGGAACTCTGAGAGAATAGACAGGAGCCAGAGTTCTTTACAGGACCAATCCCAAGACAGGCACCTCTGTAGGAATAAATCCTGACCAGGGACATTTACAGATCGGAGCCAACAACCTAGGCTAGAGCAGGCCTGAGACAGCAAACTCCAGGGGAGTGGAGCAAAACCCAGGAGTGCTGAGCTACCTCCAGGAACACAAAGTAACCAACAGGGTAACTAGAACCATGGCACTAACTGTACCATGAGGAACAACCGTATGAGCCTTGGATTCACTGGCACCTAGAAGATTAATCAAAAGAATCACAGACAGCACAAACCACACCTATTAGAGGAAAAGTTGAGTAGAAAGGTAAGGACACGCACAACAACACAAAGGGCAACACAATACCATTAAAACCTAAAGATCCTACAACAGCAAGACTTGAACAACAAAATATAGATGAAACAGAAGAAAATGACCTAAAAAATAACTTCAGGAGAATGTTTGAAAATCTGAAAGAGGAAATGAGAAATTCCCTTAAAGAAATGAAGAAAAAGACAAACAAAAAATTGGAAGACACCAGCAAATCCCTTAAGAAAATCAAGAAAAGGCAATCAAACATATAAAAGAAACTACCCAAGACTTAAAAACTAAAATAGAGACAATAAAGGAAACACAAGTTGAGGGAATTATAGAAATAGAAATCATGAGAAAATGTTCAGGAACCATAAACACAAGCATGAACAGCAGAATACAAGAGATAGAAGACAGAATCTCAATCACTAAAGATACAATAAAGGAAATAGATTTATCAGTGAAAGAAAACATTAAATCTAACAAAGATTAACCCAAAATGTGGAAATATGGGGCACCATGAAAAGGTCAAACCTAAGAATAATATGTATAGAAGGAGAAGAATTTCAACTCAAAAGCACAGAAAATATATTTAACAAAATTGTAAAAAATTAAATCAAGACCAAGTGAACAGTTTAAATAGACCTATAAGTCATGAGGAAATAGAAGATATCATCAAAAACCTCCCAACCAAAAACCCCACGACCAGATGGTTTGAGTGCAGAATTCTACTATAACTTGCAAGAAGAGTTAATACCTATACTTCTTAAGTTCCACATAATAGAAACAAAAGAGTCATTGCCAAACTCTTTTTGTGAAGCTATAGTTACCCTGATATCAAAACCACACAAAGACTCAACCAAGAAAGAGAATTACAGACCAATCTCACTCATGAACATCAATGCAAAAATTCTCAGTAAAATACTGGCAAACCAAATCCAAGAATACATTAAAAAAAATCATTCTTTTTGATCAAATAGGCTTCATCCCAGAGATGCAGGGCTGGTTCAACATACGAAAATCTATCAATGTAATCCATCATATAAATAAACTGAAAGAAACAAAACCATATGATCATTTTATTAGAGGCCAAAAAAGCATTTGACAAAATTCAACACCCCTTTAGGATAAAGGTCTTGGAGAAATTAGGGATACAAGGATCATATCTAAATATAATAAAAAGCAATATACAGCAAGCCAACAGCTAACATCAAATTAAATGGAGAGAAACTAAAAACCATTCCACTAAAATCAGGAACAAGAAAAGGCTGTCCACTCTCACCATATCACTTCAACATCATGCTTGAAGTTCTAGCAACAGCAATATGACAACATAAGGAGATCAAAGGGATTCACATTGGAAAGAAAGAAGTCAAACTTTCGTTATTTGAAGATGATATGATAATGACCTCAAAAACTCTACTAGAGAACTCCTATAGCTGATAAATACCTTCAGTGATGTGACAGGATACAAGATCAGTATCCTGTCACAGATACAGATCAGTAGCCCTTCTGTACACAAAGGATAAAGAAGCTGACAGGAAAATCAGAGAAACATCACCCTTCACAATAGCCACAAATAGCATAAAATTTCTTGGAGTAACTCTAACCAAACAAGTGGAAGACTTGTATGACAAGAACTTTAAATCTTTGAAGAAAGAAATTGAAGAAGACACCAGAAAGTGGAAAGATCTCCCATGCTCTTGGGGAGGTAGAATTAACATAGTAAAAAATGGCAATCTTACCAAAAGCAATCTACAGATTCAAGGCAATGTTCATCAAAATCCCAGCAAAGGACTTAAAGTTCTTGTCAAATAGGTCTTTCACTTCCTTGGTTAGAGTTACCCCAAGATATTTTATGAAGAAAGAAATTGAGGAGGATACCAGAAAATGGAAAGATCTCCCCTGTTCTTGGATTGGGAGAATCAACATAGTAAAAATGGCAATTCTACCAAAAGCAATCTATAGATTCAACGCATTTCCCATCAAAACTCCATCAAACTTCTTCACAGACCTTGAGAGAACAATAATCAAGTTTATATGGAAAAACAAAAAACCCAGGATAGCCAAAACAATCTTATACAATAAAGGAACTTCTGGAGGCATTACCATCCCTGACTTCAAACTCTATTACAGAGCAACAGTATTGAAAACAGCTTGGTATTGGCATAACAACAGAGAAGTCGACCTAAGGAATCGAATAGAAGACCCGGGTATTAACCCACAAACATATGAACACCTGATATTTGACAAGGGAGCTAAAGACATACAATGGAAGAAGGAAAGCATCTTTAACAAATGGTGCTGGCATAACTGGATGTCAGCCTGTAGAAGAATGAAAATAGATCCATATCTATCACCATGCACAAAACTCAAGTTCAAATGGATTAAAGACCTCAACATTAATCTGACCACTTTGAACCTGATAGAAGAGAAAGTGGGAAGTAGTCTACAAGATATAGGCACAGGAGACCAGTTCCTAAGCAGAACCCCAGGAGCTCAGACAATAAGAGAAGCAATGAATAAATGGGACCTCCTGAAACTGAGAAGCTTCTGTAAAGCAAAGGACATTGTCAGTAAGACAAAAAGGCTACCTTCCGACTGGGAGAAGATCTTCACAAATCCCTCATCAGACAAAGGTCTGATCTCCAAAATATACAAAGAACTCAAGAAACTAGGCACTAAAACTCTAACTAACCCAATTAAAAAATGGGGTACTGAACTGAACAGAGAATTCACAACAGATGAACTTCGAATGGCCAAAAGGCACTTAAGGTCATGCTCAACGTCCTTAGCGATCAGGGAAATGCAAATCAAAACCACTTTGAGATATCATCTTACACCTGTCAGAATAGCCAAACTCAAAAACACCAATGATAGCCTATGCTGGAGAGAATGTGGGGTGAGGGGAACACTCATCCATTGTTGGTGGGAATGCAAACTTGTGCAGCCACTGTGGAAATCAGTGTGGCGGTTTCTCAGGAAACTGGGAGTCAACCTCCCTCAGGACCCAGCAATTCCACTCTTGGGAATATACCCAAGAGATGCCCTATCATACCACAAAAGCATTTGTTCAACTATGTTCATAGCAGCACTATTTGTAATAGCCATAACCTGGAAACAACGTAGGTGCCCCTCAATAGAAGAATGGTTAATAAAGGTGTGGAACATATACACATTAGAGTTCTACTCAGCGGTAAAAAACAATGACATCTTGAATTTTGCATGCAAATGGATGGACATAGAAAACGCCTTACTGAGTGAGGTAAGCCAGACCCAAAAAGAGGAACACGGTATGTATTCACTCATATGTGGATTCTAACCATAATTTAAAGGTCTTTGAGCCTATTATTCGTGATCCTAGAGAAGCTAAATAAGAAGGTGAACCTGTTGAAAATCATGTAGCTATCTGCCTGGAGATTGGAAATAGACAAGAGTCCCAGGTAACCTCGGGTGCATGGGGGGGGGTGGGAGGGTTGTTGGAAGGGGAGAGGGTTAGAGAGAAGGGAGTAGGGGAGGAATGGGGAAAGCTAGGTGGACTGGGATGGGGGGGGAGGGAGGAAGAATGGATATGAGATCAGGGAAGAATATATCTCAACTAAGGGAGTCATTTTAGGGTTTACAGGAGACTTGATTATAAATGAGATCCCAGGTCCAAGGAGAGATCCCCAGACTGTTCTCTAGACCGAGGAGAAGGTGCCTGAACCGGCCTTGGCCTATAACCATACTGATGAAGATTTTGCTTATCACCATAGATCCTTCATCTGACGATGGATGGCGATACAGATGGAGACCCACATTGGAGCACCGGACTGAGCCCCCCATGGTCCAAATGAGGGGCAGAAAAAGGAAGAACATGAAAAAAACTCAGGACCACGAGGAGTGCGATCACCCACTGATACAAGGGGACTGATCTAATGAGAGTTCACCAAGGCCAGTTGGACTGGGACTGAACGAGCATGTGATCCAACCAGATTTTCTGAATGTGGCCGGATCTCTGAGTGTGGCTGGTCCGGAGCCTTGCTGAAAAGCCACTGACAATGACACTGGGACTTGTTTCCTCTGCATGTGCTGGACTTTTGGGATCCAGTCTGTTCGGATGCTCACCTTCAGGGACCTGGAAGGAGTGGGGAGGAACTTGAACTTCCCACAGGGCTGGAAGCCCTGACTGCTCTTAGGGATGAAGAGGGAGGAGGAGGGGGAGGGAGTGTGAGGGTTTTGGGAGGAGGGGCGGAAATGAAAACTTTCATAATTTAATAAACTTTAAAAAAAAAGAAAAAAAATCCCAGCAAAATTCTTCACAGACCTCAAAAGAACAGCACTCACCTTCATATAGAAAATCAAAAAACCCAGGATAGCCAAAACAATCCTGTACAATAAAAGAACTTCTGGAGGCATCACAATCCCTGACTTCAAACTCTGCTACAGAGCTACAGTACTGAAAACAGCCTGGTGTTGGCATAAAAACAGACAGGAGGACCAATGGAACCAAATCGAAGACCCGGATATTAATTCACACACCTCCAAACACCTGATTTTTCACAAAGAAGCAAAAAAAAAATCAAATGGAAGAAAGAAAGCATATTGAACAAATGGAGCTGGCATAACTGGATATCAACATGTAGAAGAATGAAAATACATCCATATCTATCACGATGCACAAAACTCAAGTCCAATTGGATCAAGGACTTCAACATAAAGCCAGCCACACTGAATCTTATAGAAGAGAAAGTGGGAAGAACACTTGAACGCATTGGCATAGGAGACCACTTCCTAAATATAACCCCAGTAGCACAGACACTGAGAGAAACAATGAAGAAATGGGACCTCCTGAAACCGAAAAGCTTCTGTAAAGCAAAGAACATGGTCAACAAGACAAAATGACAGCCTAGAGAATGGGAAAAGATCTTCACTAACCCCACATCAGACAGAGGTCTGATCTCCAAAGTAGACAAAGAACTCAAGAAATTGGTCATCCAAAGAACAAAAAATTTAATAAAAATGGAGTACAGACCTAAACAAAGAACTCTCAACAGAGGAATCTAAAATGGCTGAAAGACACTTAGGAAATGTTCAACATCCTTAGTCATCAGAGAAATGTAAATCAAAACAACTCTGAGATTCCATCTTACACCTGTAATAATGGCCAAGATCAAAAACACTGATGACAACTTATGCTGGAGAGGTTGTGGGGTAAAGGGAACACTCCTACATTGCTGGTGAGATTGCAAGATGGTACAGCACCTTTGGATGTTAGTGTGGCAATTTCTCAGAAAATTTAAAATAAAAACTTCCTCAAGACTCTGTAATAACACTTTTGGATATATAAACAAAGGATGCTCAATCGTGCCACAAGGACATGTGCTCAGCTATGTTCATAGCAGCTTTGTTTGTCATAGCCAGAACCTGGAAACAACCTAAATGCCCTTCGACCGAAGAATGGATAATGAAAATGTGGTACATTTACACAATGGAGTACTACACAGCAGAAAAAATAACAACACCTTGAATTTTGCAGGCAAGTGGATGGAACTAAAAAACATCATTTTGATTGAGGTAACCCAGACCCAGAAAGACAATTTTCACATGTACACACACTTAAGTGATTTTTAAACATAAAGCAAAGAAAACCAGGCCACAAATCACAATCCCAGAGAAATTAGACAACAATGAGGACCCTAAGAGAGACATACATAGATCTAATTTACATGGGAAGTAGAAAAAGACAAGATCTCCTGAGTAAATTGGGGGCATGAGGACCTTGGGAGAATTTGGAGGGGAGGGGAACAGCAGAGAATGGAGCAGAGAAAAATGTAGAGCTCAATAAAAATCAATAAAAGTAAAAATAAATTTAAAAAAGAGAAAAAAAAACAACCTTGTCAGTGCGTGTGTAAAGTCTTGCAGTGGTCACTCTGGAGTTCTGTGAGTCCTCAGGACACTTGACTCTGTGACTCAATAACTGTGATTTTACAGTTGTCTCCTGATAGCCCTGCCCCCTTACAGTCTCCTTAGCGGTCATGAGACAAAGGTCATATTTTATCTATAGACACAATTGCCCAACTCTAACATCCTGCTCCTTCCCTTTAGAAGGAACTGGCCAAGACTTGGAAGTCTATGGCTCTGCTTAGTTGCTTTCATTTTCACTGGCACAACCTGTACTTACGGTTGCTGTGATAAAACACCGTGACAAAGAAGCTCAGAAAAAAAAATACAGTTTATTCTGGCTTACAGTTTGAAGATATATTTCCACCGTGGCACAAGAGACTTGGTGTCAGGAGCGGAAAGTCAGCTGGTCACAGTGCATCAACAGTAAGGAAGCAGAGAAAATGAATGGGAAGTGGCACCAGGCTATAAAGTCTCAAGTCCTGCCCCTAGTGACCCACTTCCTCCACCAGGCTCCTCCTCTTAAAGGTTCCAAAGTCTTACCAAATAGCAGCCCAGTAGGAAGCCAAATGCTCAAACACATGAGTCTCATAGGAGACTTTTCACATTCAAACCACAGCATCGGCATCACCAGACACAGCGTCCTCCCCTAACATCTGTATGTGGATACCTTCTCCCACACTCTCCTCCTTGTCTTCTTTCTTTTCAATTTTCTAAAATGATTTTACTTATCACATGTTTGTGCACATGGACTGTTTCTGATCTATCCTAGGAAGTCACCAGGATCCAATGGAATCTTCACCTTAATAACTTAATTCTAATCACTTTACTTAGATCCTGTTATACCCAAGTTACTGGTCCCCAAATAAATTCACAGACCCCAGGTCCCGATGCAAATGACATGAGGGGTTTTAATTATATAACTTGAGTTTGGACTACTCCTCCATCACACCAACACAATGGGTGACGGAAGCGCAGTGGTGAGCTCAGGGAAGGGGAGAACTCTTAAATGGGAAACGCCTTAATCAGGGGGAGTTCATATCCAGTTGTCTTAGGATTGGGTAAGGAGGGCACAAAGTAAGGTAGTATCATTGGTCAATTTTTGGGTGTGAAATCCCTAACTAAGAGCCAATAATAACTGACAAGGATTAGTTACTATTTTAGTACTGTGATAAAATGCCATGATCAAGGAACATAGAGAATGTAGGGTTTACTTGGTATATGTTCCAGAAGGATAAGAGTCCATTGTGGTGTGGAGACATGGCAGCACACAGGTGTGCCAGGAATGGGAAACTGGGGCTTCATATCTTGAACCACAAACTCAGAGAAGAGGGAGCAAGTTGGGAAATGGGATAGGCCTTAGTTCTCCAACCCATCCTCAGTGGCACACTTCCTCCAGCCAGGCCACACCTCCTAAGCCTCCACTAACAGCACTACCAGCTGGGGACCAAGTCTTTAAATGCAGGTGCATATGGGAGACATTTTTATTCAAGCCACCATAGCCGCTCCAGCCCCAGGCACACTTTGATGGAGGAGGAAATAATGAGGTTTTGAAGATGTGACAATGGAAATGCCCATTAGGAAGAGTTGGATATGAATGGAGTTTGAGGGGCTGTGTCTTGTTTAGAGTTGGAAATGGGGAGGTAGAGACTGAGAATGTAAAGCCATTCAGCTGGATGAGGTCTTCCAGGAAGTGCACTTACACAGTCAGGGGAACTCAGACCCCAGTGGTTAGAGGAGAAACAGCAGAGGGCTGAGTGGAGCTCTCTGAGGGTAAACCAGGAGAGATGCCCTAAGGGCAGATGAAGCAGGTGTTTCCTAGAGACCAGTGAGGAGCCCATCCCTAGCTCAGTGCTGGTGACAGGACAGGCAGGATAAAGGCTGCACCCCAGACACTGGCTGCACCAACGTGGAGGTCGCTGGTGATGCAGAAGGAGCTGCCATGGTGGAATGGGGGAGCTAAAGCTTGGAGGGGAGGATTCAAATGAAAATCATTTGCAGGTGAAGAATTCTTCCAAGAAGATTGGTCCTCTGGATTTCCGTTTTTGTTTTTATTTCCTTTAGGTGAGCTTTTAATGTTAATATAGGTGTTGGGGTTGTAAACCCTGCTGACATTGCATTGATTGTACTATTTATTTATTTATTGTTTGGTTGGTTGGTTTTTACTAGTTTCTTTAAAAAATTCTTTGCAAGTATTTTCCTCAACTTTCATTTAGTCTCTGTGGATTTCACACTATGCATCCTGATCCCACTTATCTCCCAGTGCCCTCGCTTCTGCCCTCTCCTCGTGCAGCCTCCCCCCAAAAAAACAAAAAAAAAAAAACAAACCAAAAAAAAAAAGGGAGGTGGGGAGAAGAATCTTGTCATGGAAGCTGTGGTGTGGCCCAGTGAGTCACAGTTTTCCCTTCAGTCCATTCATCTTCACTTTTGTGTGTTCCTTGCTCTGAATCATTGGTCTGATTTGAGGTCTCTGGCTTCTGCTACACTATCAATAATGGGTTCTCACTGGGTCTCCTCTTGGATATCCTGTTGTTCTGTGTTGCGGGGATCTGTTGTTCTGTCCCCTTCACATGCTCCAACAGCTCATAGAGTGGTGGATGTTCTGGGTCTGGTAGCTGGGTTGGTCACCCTGCTAACTTTCCCTCATCTCCACTACCCAGGTGAGCCCTCCAGCATTGCCTTGGCTGGCTCACCCAATGCATCCTGCAGGAACGGGTGTCGCCAGCTCTCCTGCTCTCAGGTCCCCAGACCTGGCCCACTCACACGGACACCACCAGGGCCAGTTCTACAGGTGACACACAGGGGCCTCTCTCTGACTTCTGCAAGGGGTATGGGAGGTGTGATCAGCTCTCCTGTGTGCTGTATCTGGGGAGGGGCAGGGCTAGTTCTTCTACTCTTGGGACCCTGGGGTCAGCTCTCTCACAGGTAGCAACTGGCAGAGGGATAAGGTTACCTTTCACTCACACATGCCACCACATGGCAGACAGGGACGGGTTTGGGTCGGCCCTCCTGCTCTCATGCCCTCAGCGTCAGCTCACCTGCATCCCCGACAATCCGTTCTGCTCTAGTGTACTGTCCAGGTGAGATGCATACCTGTGCTGATGCATACCTGGGCCATCTCTCCTGCTGCAGTGCCCAACTATGGCGGGACCATCCAACCCAGAACCAGTGGAGGGTAGGGCTAGTTCAGTGCAGCCCTCAGATTTCCACAGGTGTAGTTCTTTTGAGCAATGGACATCATCACAGACCCCAACTGTAGCAGAACCATGGACCTAGACATGGCCCTTGGCAGCAGTTTGAGCCAGACATCACCATGGACCCGGTGGCAGCACAGGCCGCACAGATCAGTGTGGCCCTTGGGGTAGCACTAACAAAAGATGTGAAAGGCCTATTTGACATGAACTTAATGTCTTTGATGAAAGAAATTGAAGAAGATACCAGAAAATGGAAAGATCTCCCATGTTCTTGGATAGGAAGGATCAATATAGTAAAAATGGCAATCTTACCAAAGGCAATCTATAGATCCAATGCAATCCCCATCAAAATCCCAACACAATTCTTCACAGACCTTGAGAGAACAATACTCAACTTCATATGGAAAAAACAAGAAACCCAGGATAGCCAAAACTATCCTGTACAATAAAGGAACTGCCAGAAGCATTTCCATCCTTGACTTCAAGCTCTATTACAGAGCTACAGTAATGAAAACAGCTTGGTATTGGCATAAAAACAGAGCCATTGACCAATGGAATCAAATTGAAGACCCAGATATTAATCCATACACATATGAACACCTGATTTTTGACAAAGAAGCAAAAAGATACAATGAAAAAAAAGAAAGCATCTTCAACAAATGGAGCTGGCATAACTGGATGTCAACCTGTAGAAGAATGAAAATAGATCCATATCTACCGCCATGCACAAAACTCAAGTCCAAATGGATTAAAGACACACTGAACCTGATAGAGGAGAAAGTGGGAAGTAACCTTCAATGCATGCGCACAGAAGACCACTTCCTAAATATAACCCCAATAGCATAGACAATAAGAGCATCAATAAATAAATGGGACCTCCTGAAACTGAGAAGATTCTGTAAAGCAAAGGACACAGTCAAAGGCAGCCTACTGAATGGGAAAAAAAAATCTTTACCAACCCCACATAATACAAAGGACTGATTTCCAAAATATACAAAGGACTCAAGAACTCAGACTTTAAAATTCTAAATAATCCAATTAGAAAGTGGTGTACTGAACTAAACAGAGAATTCTCATCAGAAGAATTTCAAATGGCCAAAAGATACTTAAGGACATGTTCTTCGTCCTTAGATATCAGGGAAATGCAAATCAAAACAACTTTGAGATACCATCCTACACCTGTCAGAATGGCTAAGATCAAAAACACTAATGGTAGCTTATGCTGGAGAGGTTGTGGAGCAAGGGGAACACTCATACATTGCTTGTAGGAATGCAAACTTGTGCAACCATTTTGGAAATAATGTGGCAGTTTCTCAGAAAACTGGGAATCAACATACCTCAGGATCCAGCAAGTCCACTCTTGGGAATATATCCAAAAGATATTCAATCATACTACAAGAGCATTTGTTCAATTATGTTCATAGCAGCATTATTTGTAACAGCCAGAACCTGGAAAAAAACCTGTATGCTCCTCAACGGAAGAATGGATAAAGAAAGTATGGCACATCTACAGAGTAGAGTACTACTCAGCAGTAAAAAAATAATGACACACCTTGAATTTTGCATGCAAATGGACAGAATTAGAAAACATCATCCCGAGTGAGGTAACCCAGACCCAAAATAAATGAATATGGTATGTACTCACTCACTAGTGATACTAGTCATAAACAAAGGGCAACAAGCCTATAGTTCAGGATCCTAGAGAAACTAAGTAATAAGGTGAACCCAAAGAAAAACACATATAGACCCACCTGGAAATTGGAACCAGACAAAAATTTGGGAGCAGAGGGGGAAGGGGGTAGAAGAAGGGGAAAAGGGGGAAGGTTGAGGAGAACCTGAAGGAATGGGATGGTCAAGATGGAGGAAGGACAGATATGAGAGCAAGGAAAGAGATGTCTTTATTGAGGAAGCCATTATAGAGTTAGCAAGAAACCTGGCTCTAGAAAAATGTCCAAGAACCCACAGGGATGACCCCAAGTAAGACCCTAAGCAACAGAGGAGAGGGTATCTGAAGTGACCTTACCCTGTAGTCAGACTGATGATCATCTTAAATATCACCATAGAACCTTTGTCCAACAACAGATGGGAACAAAAGCAATGACCCACATCGGAGAGCTGTACTGAACTCCCAAGATCCAGTTGCAGAGTGGAGGGAGTGAGAGTATGAGCAAAGAATTCAAGACCATGAGTGGGTCATCCACTGAGACAGTTTGCCTGAGCTAAT